CCTTACAAAATGTAACAACTTTTTGAAATTTTTAAATAAAATAATTTATAATTTGAAAACGGTTGATTTCACAGCTTGAAGTGTAAATGCAAATTTGTATGTATTTGTATTGCGTATTTTTTGTATCTTTAACTGCTTTTTTTGCTTCTACAATGAATTTTTAAATACCATGTTTTTAAACAAAATTTTACTAAAATTTCGATAAACGTCGCAAGTAAGAAAAAAACGATTTAGTATATCAATTTTTCATAAAAAAGCAAGATATAGATCATTGCCAAAATGGATAAAACTTAAAAAACTTTGTATGTCTCCATTGGCCCTGTCGTTTAAAGTTTCTCAAAAATCATATGACATGTTCGTCGCTTGTGCTCTATTTACTTAGGAAATGAAGGTTTCCTGTTAAAATGGCCTTATTCACCCTCATTGCTCTGTCAGGTCAAGAAACAATTGCCAGTATTTTGGTGAGTCATGGAGCCGACACTGATTGTTGGGGTCCGGGCCCAGAAGGATGTAAACAAACGCTTCTGCATCGCGCCATAGACGAAAACAATGAAACCGCAGCAATTTTCTTAATAAGATCTGGCTGCGATGTTGAATCAGCCAGGATGGCAGGCAACAACGGGGAAGGTAGTGAAGAAGTTAAAGGCGGTCATAGGCCTCTCCATTTGTGTTGCATGTGGGGTCTTGAAAATGTTGCTAGGTGCTATTTTCGAATTTTCATGTTACTGTGATTTAACAATAGAGAACACTTTTAGGGCGTTGATAGAGCACAGAGCAAGTGTAACTGCTCAAGATGCGGACTTGAAAACACCCCTGCATTTAGCAATTGAAAATCAACAAGATCAAATAATTTCTCTTCTTTTGTCTGTACCTGAGATTGATCTTACCAGATTGGATAAAACAGGTTTGACGCCGTTTGCCTCTGCGTTGACTTTGCGGTAATATACTTACGGATATTAAAAGTATATCACGCTTGATAGCATCTTAGACGTATATGGAAAATGAGGCGGCATTGGACTATTCTGAAAAAAGTTGGCAGCTTCTGTAATCACGCGCCCTCTAATGACTTACATACACCATGACTCGATGCGTAGTGATACCATTTTTTTATACTTATGTTTGTTTAGTACTTTTATATACCTATATCTAATGGTTAACGCGTCGCGCGGTCTCTTCAAATTCCGAGCACCCACTGGTTACCCAAAGCCGCTGAGACAGGACCGACGTTTCGTCTTTAAATTGTCCATAGATGTCTTTATAGTCCGGGAGGCAGTGGCAAACATGAACAACAATTTTTGAAAACTGTAAAAACAGGTTATGTAAGTGCCGTATTCCTACAAGCGTGAAACTTTTTAGAGTGGGCAATAATGCCTAAAAATGCAGTATAATAATAGTATACCGCGTTGGGGGGAGGGGGGCTCAAAAATTAACTTTTTTTCTCCTCTAATGCCCGGTTTCTGGTAGATTTCCTTATTGGTTCGATAACTATCGGTCCGCTAAAGTTGTACGCTCTATAAATGTTGGTGGGTTTCTCAACGTGTCCCAACGTCAAAGCTAGTGATCCATAACTATCGAGTCTATAAAGTAGACAAARCTTGGTAATCTGTGGCCAAAGCCATATACCGTAGAAGAAGAATCTGTAAAGAAAGGTTAAAGWGACTTGCGTTACCTCGTGTTATCAAAAAAATKTGCMCGATTTATTTTACCTCAGAGATCTGGTGGTTATTTAAGCAGAAGCTATAAGTGTTGGATSGGAAGAAAAAAATMAAATAAATACAAACTATGCAAATATATTTTATCATTCTACCTGTTGCATAAAACCYTAGAGTAATGAACAACTGTTTGCAAACAGATAAACTGTGGTTTCTCTGTGTCACTGGATGAATTCATGATACGATGAATACGATATATCATTCATCTATAGCGTATTCATTGTATAATAGGCTGAATTTGTTCCTGAAGTAGCTCTTCTGGGTAGTGAACAAAATTTTTGGTTAAACGAAAACGATGTCGGAATTCATATTAGCTGTATTTTTSAAAATGATCATTCCGAGCTCAAAAATGGCAAATGATTTCACTCTATTTCACTATTAAGAACATCGAAAACTTCCTCGTCRGTCTCATSWGACMKMYGASGAATCTTTGCWTCCCTTTCACACACAAATTTTGCTCCCAAAGATATGTTTAATGGCTACCAAAAGATATTAGTGTTTTCGCAAAACGTGTTCGCTGCTCGCAGCTGATTTTGTATGACTTTTGGCACGAATGGCAATACGTTTGCGTGCGCTGCTTCTACAACTTATCGAACCGATACTTTATTGGTTGTTCAATGTAACGAACCGCTAGGGCTTACCGAACGTTTCAGAAACCCATTGTTCCGACTTATATATATATTGAATCTGTCATTTGAAATCCAGGTCTCTTGGTATATATTTTTATATTCGTACATGGTTGATTTTAATAGAAGGTTGTGGGATGTAGCCAGATCGTGTGTGCGTTATGTCATGGGTGCTATGTTTGACTATTTGTTTGGTAGGCTTCTTCTTTGCCGACTTTGGCATGAACGTTACCTAAAATAATCAGCATATCATATTTGGGTATACTCGGGATAGGATTTTCTAGTTCATCATAGAAGATTTCTTTCATCATTAAAGATTTATTTCCTCGTCTTTTTCGAGTCTCGGGCCGAGACCACCGAGTTGTTATACCACTTTCCTTTCAGTCTCATAGCAGAAACGCTCGCTTATTGGTTTRAACTACATGATTGTTTTTGCTATGKACTATAAAGCCTGTCCCAAATTGTTGTCGTCCCTGGTCATTTCTGCTATAATAATAATAATAATAATAATATTAAATTTCCTACTCTTTGAGTTCTATTYCCTGTCCAYCTGATTTCTTGAACCGCTGTTATGTCCATATTTTGTTTTTCGAGCTCTTTAGYGGCATGTGAAGAAGCTCSAGGTCTATAGAGACTAAGTAAGTTCTATTTTCATAAATTCATTGTCATTTTTCGTCTTAAGAGATCCGTCCGGGTCCGAGGTGTCTGTTTTATTGTCGGAACTTAGTTAGTCGCTCGCTTAACTATTGGGCTACTCAATCTACCCAGCAGCACTGCAGGCAGAGTGATCCTATATCGCCAAAACTATTTATTTTGCCCTTGGAAGACGTTTTTAAAAGGCTACCGTGGGAAAGGAAATGTGTAAACGTGATGGTACATTTTTAAACCATTTACGCTTTGCCGATGACATAGTGCTTATTAGTTCACATTTAGACAACATGCCAAAAAAGTATTTTTATTATTATTAACTACTAAAACATGTAAAATTATGTTAACGGGCTTCTTTATCAATATTTAGACCGAATGAACCCACTACTGAACCCGTAAAATTGGGGAATCTACAGGGTGCACCTTCTACGTCACTGCTGTTGGCGTAACCGGCAATGTTGCGAGTATGATTATCTTTTAAGTTGTTAGATCACGGAGTATTTTGGTAACTATTTAGTCAGCATTCGTAGGATAAGGTAATTGAAACCACTTGTTTGATGAATGTGTGAATTTGTTCTCCCTGGATTGAATCTGCGTATTTTAGCAGGTGCGATAGTACAACATATTTTAGTGGGCCAATGCTGACATCATTAGGCAATCAATGCTGATATTAACAATAACTATATTAAACATTGACATACAGTATATTATTATCACACTATTCCATAAGTTTTGAAATTTCCAGAATACTTCAATGTCCCGTTTTCCGTATATGTCTAAGATATCATCGACCGCGAGATACTAGTAGTATACTAGCATTTTCTCAATTTACTAATTTAATAGGAAATCTGGTACTAAATATTGCACATGAATGACTGGTACATATAATTTTCTAGGAATCATAAGTCCGCTCAAGCAATACTAGATAAGCTGCCATCAGCAGCTGAACAATGCAACAGTAAAGGCCAAAATTTCTTACATGTTGCCATCATGAAGGGAGACATAGAAAGCGCTCTGTTCCTTCTAACAGTGAATGTGGATGTTAATTCTCGAGTGCAGGACGCTTTATTAGCGCCCCCTATACATTTAGCAGCTAAATATGGGAGTGAAACATTGGTTAGAAGCTTGATTTTAGCTGGAGCCAGGGTACGTAAAAATGTTGTCTATACATTTCATTATAAACATTTTGCATTTTATTTAACTACTCAACAAAAATTAGCGACTCTTTTAAAACGCTAATGACATTGAGCTCACTGAGATCGAAGTCGGAGCTGAATGCTGACCAATCCAGTGTTAGACTCATGCTAATATTGCAAGATAATTTCAGAACCAATACCATATGCTGCAGGAACGACACAATCGGTCATTCTCATCTATGCTTCAACTGAAAAATTTTAGCGCAACGTGCAACCTTGAAAACTATAGGATTTTGTTTTGTGTCGATTTTTTCAGGACTCGCCAGTGTTTGATGGAAAAAAGCATGGAAATCCAACTTCACGCTACACAATTACTGGCAGAGTCCATTAAAAAATTAAGTGTAGCCATACAATTCTTGGCATCGTTCCTAGATAAAAAAAATAATAGTAATGAAACGAAATTAAATCTTCATTCAAACACTGTATTAACAACTCCATTTCGAATTCTTTGGTCTTTACTAAACAAATTATTATGAATATTTCCTTCGTATGATAATCTGTCCTTTTGAAGTGTGCAATTATCGAAAAATTACAGCGGTAATTGCACAGTGTGCAATTATCACTCAACGATAATTGCATTGTTTACAAAAAATATTTGACAGGTGTCTTTTCATGTTGAATTAGACATAAAATGTCTTCATGACATACCTAAGATATTCAAATTATATTTAACAAACGTAAGTAATAAAATTAAAAGTGTAATAAAATATAATAGAAATAAAATTAATCCACATTAACTTTGTTTACTCAGGAAATATTCATAAAAATTACACTCGTGCATCAAAATAAACAGATAATTTTGCATTCGAGCTTGTTGTCTTGTAAAAACTGCATTCGCTTATTTTCACATTGGAACGAAAAAGCCCTCCTCCTTCGGAGTCGGCCTTTTTGCCACAATATGAAAATAAACTCATGCAGTTTTTAGACAACAAGCTTTCATGCAAAATTATCGGTAATTTTGAAGCACTTGTGCAATTACCCCCGA